CACCCGAGAGAAATGGGCAAAATTTAGAAAACACAACCTAACGCGGGTGTTTTATTAGTTTCTCAAATGGTCTTTAATGTAAAGATTGTTTTAGTAAAACACCGTTGAGGAAATGCACAAAATGACGAAACACGGTTTCCGGTGTTTCGATCTCTGCATGATATAACATCAGTTTCACAGGCAATCAGAACGCGCGCTTTATCAAATATGTGTAAATGTAAATAATCTGCATATCTTCTGAACAGAATTTTTCTTTGTTCTTTTCTAGATAGTAGAGCATGGGCCAGTGCAGTTTTTATTTGACGAAGGCATCGAAGTAAATTATTGGTTCCCAGTCCTTGCGCGTCAGAAGATGAAAAATCAAAAATCAGTAAACGTGAAAATCATTTAATTTTGCCACGTTTTTTTCAGCTTGTTTTTGCTTGTCATGGTAACGATTCTAAAGCCCAAACAATATTTATTTGACAAAGCTATTCTTTCAATTTTCTATTTGTTATTCTGCATGCAGCGGTTTTTCTTTAAAAGCAGATTTATAAGTCAATAGAGTTCTTTGTCGTACATATAAAGCTGTATGTCATTTGTAATAAGTTTGTGACAGGCGGAGTCATCTACTATATATCTTAATAGCTACAATCGATAATAAATTTTGGTGCCATTTACGTATCGAAAGCAATTTGACTTATATGTAAAACAAATTCGCCGTGGCGGAAATCATAAACATGTTCTCATTCATAAGAATTATTTTTATGAGCAAAAACCAGTAAGAAGCGACCTTTACGACTGCCCATATAACTTAATTTCCTGTCGACGAACAAACCAACCCGCTGGGAATTCATTCATCACAAATGAAATTGCAAAGTTAATCGGAAGACTCGACATAGTGTCCTTTAAAACTGTCTGATTTTGCCAGTCAAATTTTAGTTTTTTTAATTTCATTTTGAAATCGTTTGTCTTCATAAAAGGACGTCAAGGGCATAAAAGAATCGCTCAACGGACGAGGCAGGCTGTTGCTAGTGGCCGGACTGATGGTTGCAGCATATTTTAAAAATCTGTGAAAACAACATGTATGTTCAATCATTTGGCCAAACCGATAAAACTATGTCTAATCTAGTCGGGGAATTTATATTTAACACTGCTTAGTAAGTCACAGGTAAGACACTTCAAGACTTTCTCCTTCGCGATAAAATTACAAAATCGATAGCGATAAAAGACAGAACGCCTGTAAAGTCACAGAAGAATCTGTTCTCACAGTACGTGGCTGATAAAACACCTTTTGGTGTTTTTGTATTGAGGTTTGACGATTTTTCAGTCGTGAAAAACATACCAACTAGAGCGTCGATCGTTTGCAATGGATAACAAGACAATCGTGAACAACACCACACGAGAAGCCGATAACGGAACCGATTCTTCAGGGGAACTCGATTTCATTTCAGATGGACTCACAACAGGAATTGTGGTCAACACCTTTCTGATACTTTTAATCGTGGGAGGTAATTTTCTGGTGATTGCAGCTTACGTGAAAAATCACCGACTTCGCACTGGAACCTACTCGTTGTTAGTGAGCCTGGCTTTGTCTGACTTACTCGTTGGAGGTGTCGCTATCCCAATCCGAATCTACGGTTCCATCAAGAGTTGGGATGTCAGCGTCATATTTGTTTTAGCTTACAACGCGTTTGACATCTTCAGCGCCGTAGCGTCCAATCTTCACTTGATGGCCATATCATTCGAGCGTTTCATAGCCGTTTCGCGACCGTTTTATCACCAAACGCTCTCCGTCTCTCCGTACGCGGTAGCGTCAATGATGTCCTGGACCTTAGGGATTGTCGTCGCCTCAGTACACCCAGCAAACTATTTACAAAACGATAGTGATATATCGCTAAAGTTGAGACTCCTTGAGGTATACTCTGTCGCTTTATTTGCCTTGTGCTTCTTGGGGCCGTTAACAACAATCACAATTTTAAACATCGGGATTTTCCGCATTGCAAGAGTGCTAATCCGACGCGATCCATTACAACACGGAAACATGGGACAAGGAAGGCTGAAAAAAGAGCGTAAAGCGGCATTGACGCTTCTTGTTATGACTGGGGTTTTTTTCATCGCTTGGTTTCCATTTTTTGTTGTCAACATGTTGTACCTGTACTGTATCACTTGCCTCCCATCCTCAATCAACGCTCAGTTTGTAATGGTGGACATCATAAAATGGCTGCATTTCTCCAACAGTGCCATCAATCCAGCCATATACGCTTACCGGGATATCGAAATGCGCCGAACATTCGCCAGACTTCTCGGTCCCTTGGGAAAGTTGTGCGGACTCAATCAAATCGAACCGGAACATACGAATACACAAGTTGTTATCGACATGCAGACAAGATAGTAAGGAAACTACCATGACTGTTTAATTGACGACAATGGTCGCAAGTGCTAGGCTAGGCAGGCCGTTTTTCGAAGATCAGCTTGGGATATTGCGATTCACAAGTCCAGCATTACAATAGCCCACTCTAACAGAACAAAAATGTTTATAATTTACACGTTCGCTAAAAGAGCAAGATCTTTTGTTTTCAAGGTCAATGACCAGTCAACTGGCAATGTATATGCTTTGGATATGGTTGCTCTTGTAGTTATAACGAAAATTATTTACCAGTATTGGTCAAATATTCCTCAGTCGAATTTAATTAGATCTTTCAGGACACAAAGTACATACTTTTTCTACTACTTTATATCAGTTCATAGACATCAAAAACGAAAAAAAAGTTATCCTTAACCCCGTCAAACGATGAAAGTAAAAAAAAAAATCACCGAAAAAAACAACACTCAAATGTTTTTTGCCACTTTACCCAATTCAGTTCAATGCTGCCACCAAGCAAATCATTTATTGAGCCAATTGGAAACTCGATGTGAATATCCAATTGGTTTTAACAAACTAATGATTGCGGAATTCGAAAAGCCGGAGAGACCTGATGGGGAAAAAAATAATTTTGGAGCCAGTTTGTTTCCAGCGCAAGTATATAATTATATACTTTGTATATTGATTCAGTAGTTGAGCCGTTTTCCCCTGCATGCGGTCAATACTAGATTCTATTGACATTTAGTGGAGAAAGAGTACTATTAAACATCAGTCTTTCATATATGAGGTTGAAGTTTCTTATCAAAATAAGCCCGATATCATTAACTTAGCCCTGGCAGGTGATGAAGATTTTCATTAGCCGTTATATAAATATTGAAGCTTGGACATGTCAACTCAACGTTTGCTCAATTTTGATTATCTTGCTTTGTGAGCCAGTTAGTTCCATCGAGTGATACGTGAAAGATTGTCGGAACAAAGTGGACAACGGCTTCTCTGTGATAGGTACAAAACTCAATCCTGAAAACAAAATGAAATCTTTTAAAGATGAGGACCACCTTTCGATAAACTGTGACTAAATTCATTTCAGTTTAGTTATGCATCGAGTAAAATGTGACAAAATACATCGATGAAATAAGTATTAAGAAGACTGTGAAGTCTGTAAACTGACAATTCACATACACTAGCAGTTAAGCCACATGCATGACGCTATACAGTTTTTAGCTTAAATATATTGCTGCCGCAGGCTACATGCAGATGCGAAGACTAAGAGATAAGCAGATCACGGGAGTTAAATTATTCAAAAAGAAATTAATTTCAGGAGGTAAGAGAAAGTGATGAAAGCGGATGTGTAATCTCCTGTAAGAGTTGAATGCGTGCATGAAAATGATTGCAGCGGCAAGAGTTGACAGCGTGCATGAAAATAATTGCAGTCCACACATCAAAGAAAGTATGATTTATTGAAGGTATCTTACTATCCCTTTATCAATACACTTGATATGCCAATAAACCCGTGAAAATTGGAAATGTAATAAACAATAGTAAAGCTTAGCTTTACTGACAAATGATTCATACACTATCATCATGATAAAAGACTGAGAATGATCGCGAGACGTAATCTGTTTCTAAATTGCCTGTGCGTGTCGCCATAAATTGATTAACTTAACAAAATAACCAAAAAAGTAAATAGTGGGTTACTAGGCTTACATACACAACTAGAGTCAGTAACTTTTGACAAAGGGCGGAAAGCGTTATATCAAACGCAAGTAACAGTGTTTTACCACATTTCCAAACACCAAGAAGAGAGTTGAAAATACGACGCGTAGCGGAAGGCGTATTTTCACGAACTTGGAAGTGTTTGCCGAAAATGTGATTTAACACTGTCTCGAGTATTTGATATCTTTTGAATCGAAACCAAAACAAAGTTGAAAACGGAGTGGTAAAATCGTAAAAATCTAAGTTAATTAAGATCGGATATTGGAACACCGCCACGGCTAAGTATGATTTACTCTCATAAATCATTATTGATGAAGAATATGTCATAAGTTGACTGATTGCGTGAGTTATACGTAAGTAACTTACAATTATCTGGGGAATCTTTATCGACTGTATAATTCATCCAGATATATTCTTTTAATAATGCTCTTCTTTTCAGAGAAAAATCCTTTCATAGAACGGATTCCGAAAGCTGCGGGGAGGCAGCATGGCCGGGTGGTTACAAGTTGCCGGAATTAAAATACAGAGGTCGCGATTTCAAGTCCGCTCTGACTACCAAGTTGGAGTTGTCTCTGGGTAGACGCTTGTTCAACTCCTCGGTCAGAGAGGATTTTAAAATCCATTTCGACTATTTGAAAATTTCTTTCTTTCAGTTTTAAAGTGTCTATACGGCCAACAGGGTTTTTGTGGTTTTGTATATCTATAACATCTAAAACTGTATTCAAACCAAAAAAAAAATAATTCCGGTGCTTTTTTTGCCATGAAATCAAGCTTTAAATTTACCGCTTCGACCACGCCCAATGAAGTTGACCGCGTAACGAAAGATTGGTGACGAATGACGTCACTTCAGGAACATCTCAAAGCCTCATGTTTTTATTTTACTTGCTTGACAACCGCATTGTTCCACCAACTTCGTTTTGTTTGCTTTTTGTCGACGAAAATTCCTAACCACTACTGAAACAACAGTGACCTGAGCTAGCAGGATTTTGCAATTCCTGACTTGACGTCACAACCCATTCAGAAAACCAGACTCTTTTTTGCCACTGGCTCACGGTCAACTTCATTGGGCGTGGCTGAAGCGGGAACTTTAAAGCTAGATGTCTTTGGGCGTTAAAATGTCGGAATCCAATTTTTTTTTCTTAGAATACCTTTTTACACATTATAGAGATACCAAACCACAAAAAACCCTGTTGGCCGTATAGACACTTTAAGTGGCATGCCTGAGAACTAGCTAGTTTTAGCTAAGAGCATCGACCACTATAAACACTCAACATTTAACATTTTTTAACATGTTTAAAAAACTATCACGTGACACCGACGATAAAAAGACTGAACGACGAGTCGTTTAACGAAGACACGTTAGAGATGTGTGTGCCTTCCGTCCTGCGTGTATCTAGGGAGCTTAAGCAAGGACGACGGTGACGCCAAGGATGACGCCTAGAAAAAAAAGGAATAATATCAGGGCCGTAGTTAGCAACAGGCAAATCGTGGCACATTATATTGCATGTTTTTCGATTTGTTGTTTTTAGTCACCCTAAACACCCTCAATACCTAGGATCATAATTTCTTCATAGGCATTGCTTCAGTCATAATTTTTTTCCTGCCTACGGCCCTGAATATTTTCCCTTCGAATTGGGCAATTATGAGTACTGACGAGTTACGAAATGCAGCTGCTGACGGAAAACAATATGCATCGATGATCCAAGATAAAGGAAGAAATCAAAATGCAGATTAGATGGTGTTAAAAGTATAAACGCCTTACGGTTTTAATTCTTTTGTTGCCAAAGTCGGCTTTTGTAGCAGTTTGGAAAGGAGTCATTAAACCACTTGTGACGCCATCAATGTCCATGTCAGCGCATGGTTTTGATAAGCAGACAATACCAGTTATATCATTTGCATAGAACTGTCCATTTTGAATATCGACTGCATATTCTGACAAAGCTGATCGAAAAATAAAACCACAGTAGATTTTGATGCAACTTTGGTGGCACATGTAAAAGAGGCTATTACCATCACCCACATTTGCTTCAGGTCTCATTTGTAGCCATTACCACTGATTCAGAACGAAACATTTCCAGCTGGTAGACAG